CAACCTGATTGTTTTCTCCAGCGGGAGATGACCTCATTTATATACTCCATGCATCATTGCTTGTATGCAGATATTATAATAGCGTCCATTTCCATGCCTTATGATCGGGCGCAGAGATATTCTGATGTACATACATTTGCAGTCTATTTCCAAGCAGTAAACTCGTACATTGCTCATTTTTCACTTGGAGTCTAGACTTGTCTCGAAGTGTCCAGATGAGTGGAGTCTACACTTGTCTCGAAGTGTCCAGATGAGTGGAGTCTAGACTTGTCTAGAAGTGTCCAGATGAGTGGAGTCTAGACTTGTCTCGAAGTGTCCAAATGAGTGGAGTCTAGACTTGTCTCGAAGTGTCCAGATGAGTGGAGTCTAGACTTGTCTCGAAGTGTCCAGATGAGAGGAGTCTAGACTTGTCTCGAAGTGTCCAGATGAGTGGAGTCTAGACTTGTCTAGAAGTGTCCAGATGAGTGGAGTCTAGACTTGTCTCGAAGTGTCCAGATGAGTGGAGTCTAGACTTGTCTAGAAGTGTCCAGATGAGTGGAGTCTAGACTTGTCTCGAAGTGTCCAGATGAGTGGAGTCTAGACTTGTCTCGAAGTGTCCAGATGAGTGGAGTCTAGACTTGTCTCGAAGTGTCCAGATGAGTGGAGTCTAGACTTGTCTAGAAGTGTCCAGATGAGTGGAGTCTAGACTTGTCTAGAAGTGTCCAGATGAGTGGAGTCTAGACTTGTCTAGAAGTGTCCAGATGAGTGGAGTCTAGACTTGTCTAGAAGTGTCCAGATGAGTGGAGTCTAGACTTGTCTAGAAGTGTCCAGATGAGTGGAGTCTGTCATTAAGACAAAAGGGTCACACTTCAGCCTACCATTTGTTTTGCAAGTATCACGTTGACAATATATTTCTATCCCATACATCTTCTCGAGCCAAGGGAGTTAACAGACTATAAAAGTCATGTTTCCACCCTTGCCGAACTAGGCCGGAATTTCTGGGTTTAATCGTAGCGCCAGTGGCTATGACGAGTTATGACCCTTCTATGTCCCTCCTATTGACCAATTTGATTCATCTCGATTGCGTGGATCGATGCTCATGATGTCAATCACTGGATTGTCTGGTCCAGACTCAATTATTTACAGACCGCCGTCATGTAGCTGGAATATTGCTGAGTGGGGCGCTAAACAACAAATAAACCAATCAGATTCCACCTCTGATATCACATGCATTTGCATAAAAAGGCAGCGCCCTGTGAAGACGATAGGATCGATAGTCAAGATCTATTTTGTAACAACGCGGATCTTACTTCGAAAAGTGCATGAAATCACGTTAGCACATTGATTAAAAACATGAAACGATTTGTAAAGTATCTGTTGATAAGTTGTCGGTACACATGCCTTGCAAATCCTCCAATCGACCAAAACCTGCACGGCAGTTTACGAACCGGATGTTGATTTCGTTACGCGAATTTGATTGGACTCGTTAGTCCAGCCAAAATACAACTCAATAATTCCAGCCTAGTTCGGCTAGGGTGGAAACTGGACTTTTGTAGTCAGTTTACTCCCTTGCCTCGGGAAGATGATTCCATATTGCACTGAACAATCCAAGCATGAACTATGAGATGTTTCTCGAATGCAATCGCCACTAAATACCAAAGACGTCATGAATAATATTACACACCCCTTTCAGCTTTGGTTAGATGGCTTTACGCCTGGTTGAACAGTATTTATGTTATATCAGCCCTGTCTCTTTAGTACAGGACCGATTCTGTGGTCTGGTGGATAGATCGTCTCCCCGGAGAGGGGAAGATCGTAGGTTCGATACCCGACCGCGTCATACCAAAAGACGTTGAAAGATGGTACTTGTTGTTACCCTGTCTGGCGCTCGGCGTTAAGGGGCTAAAACAAGGACTCGTCAGCTCGGGGTCAGTATATTGTGTCTGAGTGGAGTATTCATGTTAAACTGCGGCGTGGTATCTCAGTGGGCTAGTAGTATAAACTCGGCATTATACCGAACTAGTACAAGCAGCCACACACATCCACACGTGCACGCACGTCGCTACATAAGTGCAATAATCTTGAACACGACGTTAAACCCAATTTCACCTCGCCCCACCTTATGGAGGAAAGACGCCCATCATACAAACTATACGTTTACCACAGCACAGCACCCAGCGACAAGAACATGACCATAACCGGTTATAAACCTTCAATTTGCACCCACGATCAGGGAATCCTGTCTCGGCTAAGGGACAGAACCCTGTGAACCGGTTACTCCACCCTATAACACGTGATCCTCTGTACCCCTCAAGCTTTAAAATTGATGTAATTGATATGATTAGGCATACATGTATTATTGCAATATCGTTTACTGATACTGTTAGAGATTTATGACTATTCTCAGCAACCATTTCCTCAAGATAACACCATAAGTGTTGTGTGTAATCGAATAGGGGAATTTCCGTTGACGCCCACAGATGACAAAAGGGAATAGTTGTTTCCAGAGACTGATCTGATGCAATCAAGATAATTTACTATAGTTAGCGTTAGTTAGGATAATTAACCTCGTATCTAATTTCCGACTCTCTTTACCATGTGGCAAATGGTTGTTTGATTTACCGCATTGTTGACAGAACTCGGTCCGCAAATACATATTTGTCTACCAAAACCCACCAGCAATGATTGCAGTAGTATGGAAGATAGCACACATGATGTTTCGCCCTTTGTCAATACACATTAGTGACTATTTAATAATAAATAATGCATTTATTCAATATGCCGTTTCCTTCCACGTTATTAATTGTTTGATAAAGAAATAATGCCAATGAATAATTTACAGCATTGGTATCAATGCTACTTTGCTTTGGAATATTTGACAACCGATTCATTTCAAAGATCGGTATGTCTCAGTGACCAGACACTGATGAGCAATGAAGGCATCTTCATCATATGTATATCTATATCGACCACCAAAGGCCGGACAGTGCGAGAAGGAACACACACGCCGTCCTCTTAAATTTAAGGATGAAAAACGCCAAACATGTCTCACGTACTGGGTTGAGTAATAGGTAAACCGGTCATCATTTTCAAATAAAGATTTTATAATAAGATGACCATTTGTTTACAGGAGAAAATGCGTTCCAAACATATATATTTATTTCTGCTCATCCTTTATTTTTGTTGTAAAACTCTTCTCATAGATAATTTGTTTTGTTTTCAGCAAGTTATCTATAAGACTATTTTTACAAGTGAAAAAGACATATCGGTAGAGACAGATATCAATGTAGTAAATGCTAAGAGCCTTACCAGACAAATAATATACAATAACTACAGTTTATATTACTTCATATATGGTAATTACTTATGTGAATTAATATGATTTATTACAAAACATGGTGTTGATGAAATATAAACGATTCATTTAGTTACTTTGATACCAACATAACACAATAGCGTGTTGGAAGGATATAGGAGGATATAAAGATTGTGTAAATAACAACAAGTTAAATAATGTAGATTTTGGAGATAAGACGGTAACAACAACCGCTCCTTTGACTGGAAATGTAATATCAACGTTATGAGGAAATTATCCAGCTTTTATGCGCCTAAAATATATGTGAGTTCTTAATACCAAATCTGTACACTGTATGAGAACAAGGAGGCGGACCCATTGTTCGTAATAAGATTGTTAACTAGATTATATTGAGTCTACGATTTAGAAACCGACCTTATGAACTTTTGTCCTCTGCATGAGAGTATTTTAGTATTACGCTGGTTATACAAGCACATTAGCTGTATACTTGGTAAAGGCATTATGTGCACCGTCGCTATAAATGCAAATTGAATGCAGTATATTTCTTAAAACCAATATAGCATATTTCATAAAAGCGATATAGTATATTTCCTGAAAGCAATATAACATTTTTACTTAAAACAATATAGTAAATTTCCTAAAAAAAGGGAGGGGGGCGGGGTCGACGGTGTAGTAATCTGAACAGACCGGAGCCTGGCCATGGGGAGAAAACTGAAACTGATCGGCCCGAATGGCGTGTATCGTTGCTCATGTTTTCAGTCATTGGTTTTCCTAGTCTAGACTCCATTCTTAACTTGCTGCCATAATACGCTGGAAAATTGATGTGTGCGGCACTAAACAACATTGACTCACACACTTTAGGTATACTATGTTTGCATATGTTTATTTTCAGAATACATCATCGCGACGACAGTATCTTGTCATTATAGTAAAATGACGTGTTTGGGAAGAGAAACAGACGCAGACTTACATGCACGCACGTCAAGACGTATTCTTTGATCGGGAGGTATCTAAGTTGTCTGTGTGTCCCAAGAGGGACCTGGGATACAAGTTCTGTTTGTTTGTTGTTTAATGGCGCACTCAGCAGTATTCCAGTTATATGACGGCGGTCTGTAAATAATCGAGTCTAGACCAGGCAATCCAGTGATTGATATCATTAGCCTCGATCCACGCAATGGAGATAGGATGACATGCATCAACCAAGTCAGCGAGCCTGACAACCCGATCCCGTTAGTCTCCTTCCACGACAAGTACAGTCGCCTTTTACGGCAAGCATGGGTTTATGAAGACCTATTCTACCCCGGATCTTCACGGGTCCTGGCATACAAGTATGCATATTGACACACACCGCTAAAGACATAAATCATGCCAATTCCTAAGAATCTATGCATATGTTTAAACGTTTCAAAGAGACACATTGTGTTTTTTGCAATAGATTATAAATCAGATGCGACACAAACAAATGCTTGTTGTGTTACCAAGGTGTGTTTTCTCAGGAGAGTAGGTATTATTGACATATTGTCATGGCGAAAGACAACAGATGACAAGACACACACACAAAATGCATCAACACATGCCTCAGGAACTCATATCCCGTGTGATATACGGAGAACAAAACACGGATCTTGTTTCCAGCGTGTTAAATCTTGCGTGCCGGCCTTGGATACGACTAAACACCAGCAACTGAAGTGTCGTCTGCTTCACAGACCAGACGACAGCCAGCTGTAGCAGACGACAGTTTACTGTAGTTACGCTCCGACGCCTGGTGTCAAACTTGGAGGAAGTTAGCTCGTGTATTGATGTAAAGAGTGGATGGACAGGCGTCCGTGCGTCATGTGATTCACGGCAGGTGATTCACGCACCTGTAATGCAATCGGACATAGGTATACCTTTGCTCATGTGAAAGTGACTCGCTATCGCTGATGGACAGACCATCGTTCTCCGGGAGTTATCTCATGTGACACAGACGATTGTAACATCATGGGGTAAGTGGATGTCGTTGTGTATGGTAGTGGTTTGCAACGAGGAAGTACAACTTCTCAATGGGATGTCATAGCATACACTTTGTTTACAGACATACTGTATGGGTATTGGTGTGTCAACTCTATCTGATTCTTTAGATGAAACTGAAATACTCAAATACTGTGTTGAAGCAGGTGTCTTAATCCTTTAAACATGTTAACAAAGATGTTGTCGATGAGAAAACGGATGTTGCAATCATAAGCTCCCAGTATAACCACACTCTGTATGTTATAATGGTGTAAACAACTCGCTCAAATAAAATGTAAATTTTACAGTTGTAAGTTGAATAACCCCTCAGTCTTCCTGCTGAAAAAGCTTGTCACGCTTGACAACAAACGCCTGTAACCCTGTTTCTTTACACCAGCATATAACCGTTTTATGTCAAAATACTATTAATGTCGACAAAAGGCTCTCAATTAACTGCTTGATACAGGGGCGTGTTGAAAGGGGCTTTATCCGATAGGGAAGCGATTCTGTATGTCGTGAGTTCTAGTCACTAATTATTCATATAGTATACCAACACAATATAGTAATTGCAGGTATATGTTGCGGAAACATGGACGTTGTCATAACAACCAAGTTTAAGTATTTTATTTAAAAGATTCAGCAATGTTTTTTGACCAGTTGTTTTTATGTCTTATCAAGTTGATCTACAAACTTGACGAGATGACGTCAGTATGGTTCAGATATACACATTTGTCGCTATCATAAAGTAGGTGTCCCGGCCTGGAGGCTGTGCCGATGTTGACATCCTTGTCGGGACTAAACTACTACTTCATCCACTTTGGTTACTCACATCTACCTCGTAGTTCTTCCACTGACACAAGTTGTAACCGAGTAATGTTTCCTGTTTCATAGCAATAGAGCAATAGGGATTAGTAGCCGAGTGTGTTTCCGTGTCGTAATTATCAATATTTAATAGGAATAAAAGTGTATTATTTCAGCCATAGTCGAGCATTAAACATATTTTCTTATTCCTTTTACATTAGTTTTACGATACGGAAACACACGAGGGTGATAATATCTTTATCATATAATCTCCTTCTTACAACAATCGATATTTCAGATGTAATTTCACCCATTGCTTTAGAAATCGTGTATGAATACAGTGTTTTGATGAAATGACATACAGCCGCGTTGGTCAATAGTTTCATTAGAAAGAAGGCATTGCATCGATGTATTGAACTTAAAAATAGTTCCTGCTAGGTGACTTCATTTGCATATTTATCGTCTTGTGACACGAAATTTATCGGATTGGTTTATTCCAAAAATAATAGGAGGCGGTGGGTAGCTTAGTGGTCAAAGCGTTCGCTCGTCACGGCGAAGACCCGGGTTGGAATCCCGACATGGTTACAATGTGTGAAGTCCATTTCTGGTGATATTGGTGGGATATTACTAAAAGCGGCGTAAAACCATACTCACTCACACCCATAAATAATATTAACCATGTATCATAAACACCCGGTATTTCACTAGTTACCCTCAAAACTAAGTTGTACCCTCGTAATTGTGTGCACTACAGCCACCACAACCATCATCACCACACATACAGCTACATCTAACATGCAGCTAGCGTTACTGATGCCTCACTGAAGACGTTACGACGTTACAATGACGTCTTACATGATTTATAACGGCAGTGCCACGACATAATAACCTGTACTGCGATTGACTGCAATTGTATTCAGTGATTGAACACCACTGATGTATTAATGCGTATTTGTCAATTCTGCCGCTCATTAAATGCACACTATGTAACCAGCAAATAAGATATAAACCGCAAGTTGGAATTGGCAATTCATCCGTAGCTGATGGATCTTGAATTGATAACATGACAGTACTGTCAATATCACCATGACCTGTCAGTCAGTCGGAAATGGCAGCTTATACGTGATATATAGCACCATGTTTTGACCACATGCCAATCAAGCAATTTGGTATGTAGCAGATAATAACGTTATCGCTGTCCTTTATACGCCGAGTTATTAAATCTGAGTAGCGAAGCTTTTACCGACCAATTTGACTGCTTCCGTCTACATATGAAACTGGCAAGTGTAATATGTATAGTGATTGTGTCAATATCATGTCAACATTTACATTAACAATCCATACAAAAATAGCAGTGTGGTTAGTGTCGTGTTATACCAACTGTAGTCTCCCTTCTATGATACACTAACCACAGTTAGCAGAGAATCACTGACCTCGTTAAACGACAAAAGCCTAATTGCTAAAATCGTTATCGACCAGCACCGAATAACCTTCATTTGAAATGTAAAAAGATGGGTTGCAGTGTTTAGCTCATTGTGTGCAGGAAATATGGCCAATCGCAGCTATGTCAACTTTGTCAACTAATGTCTCCTTATACCAGAATAAATAGGCCACGATGATCCACAGGTCGTTGTTATCTACAAGATCAATGTGAAAGTTAAATCAAGTTTTCATCACCATTGTCATCACCGTGTGTTCGCTCATCACGTTACAACGCTTTAAACGTAAATGACTTCCAACAAGGATGACGTTTTGAGTTTCAGTCAGTACACTGATCCTGTTAATTGAAATAATTGTTGTGGAATGCGCTGTGTGTGGGTAGGATAGAATACAGTGTTTGACTCAGGATACTCAATCTGCTATACACTGGCTGGCTGTGTATGGCGCACCTCGTAAACCCCTTTCCCCTTTTATTCTTTACATGCGGAAAAAAAGCTGAATCTGTTTTGAAATGCGTCCTGGAACATCCCACATGAACCATATGAACATCGTTGACATGGTGCCAGCCACATTCATATCTCGATACGAATGGGGATATTGATATAATTGATCACCAGATATCGAATTATACCTGTTTGGGTTCAATCAATAGAATGTTTGAGTGGGTGCTGTTTTACGCCGCTTGTAGTAGTATTGGAGCGACGGCACCAAGAACTGGCTTCACGCATTGTACCCACGCGGCGACCACAACCGTGTCCACAATGTGACTGTGAAGTATGCTGTGGATGAATGTAGATATAACTGTGTATTGGTGTTATTTTGTAGGAAAATGGTTGTCTATATGTATTATTTTAAAGTTTATGTTATTTTATTTAGATTTGTGTGTTGGTTAAGTCTCTCATAATCCATTGGTGGCCTGTACATGTTATTGTTCAAATATGTGTCTACTCTATATATGTGTATAGGGTGAGACTGTAATAAACACTATCCTCTCCTAGGCTAACCGTGGTCACTGTACCGTGGCAACGTGTTCCTGTTGTTAGCAACCATTGTTTCGTCAGATCTGGAATTAACCCTTTATAGATTGTGACCCAGCTGTAGTATTGCTGACGGCGGCATAACAGAAGACTCAATCACTCTACTCTACTCTACTCAACACAACATTATATTGAAATAAACTTCCCCAATAACCTGACTCCACTAACCCGCGAGCCCAACACATCAAGACACGGCCACTAAGCTGTAACGAGGCCTTGTCATATTCCCGTCGGCCAGCAAATCTCATACATGTATGCACGACTATAAAGGTTCAGCTTCAATGGAGATGATAGCATGTTATGGGGCATTGATATTAAATCTAACCATGGCTTAAGTTCCATTTGTTGCAAGTTTGTTTGACGGGTCATGAGACAGCAGTATGTATAAGATCGGGTAATGGAAGACTGTTATGAACACATTAGTGAAATGCAGGGCTCAGGGAGTACGCACTTCAAAGGTTATTAACAAACATAATTGTAACCTGTCAGCGTCAGCTTAAGTTGAATGCTTCGAATGGTTGTCATTCACGTACAATACCGTAATGGATATATTATTATTGCACGTATATAGAAACGCGGGAATAGACATAACGTAATTACCATATCGAAGAAATACCATATAGTCCAACTCACAAGTGTATATATTAGAAAGTAATAATATATAAATGGATTGATCTATCAGTGTAATTAGGACACGTTAAATGCTCGGAATGTCGATCTTATCTGGCATTGTGCCATTGAGTGATTACCGTATACCCCATATAAAGTTTTTCTTAAATCTTAAAGCTTTCAATTTCCCGACCGATAATGTTTCTACAGACACATTATTTATCATGTTTGAAAATGTTAATAGAAATTTGAAGCCCTAACGAACGAATTCCATCTAAACTTTAAACAGTGTTGTTTTTAGAAAATAAAACAACAGAGCTGTTCAAATCATTATTATTACTTGCCCGTGAAGAGATCACCCGTTTAATAAACATACAGCTTTATCACACATTGTGTAATACCAAAACGCGTGCTTATGTACTCTCGGAACACGTTTCACGAACAAATATTGAAAGCTCTCAACATCCCTTGGCGTATTCAACGACATTGTGTGTGGAGATGATAGATCACTGGGAGGAGCTTATGCACACTCGATGACCCAAGCAACCTTGTTGCTAGGCTGACGTCACATGGCATTGTTTCGCCGATGGATCTTGCAACAAAATTCCACAAATTACGTCATCGGGTATTGTGACGTCATTGTAAACTTTGAGGTGCAAGGCCCCGTTCCACAAGGCGATCGTACTCTAGCGCAACGACAGTCGTTAGTCTAAGTTAAATTATGTGAGTTGTGATAGCCTTAGCACTACGATAATTTTGTGGGACGAACGCCTGAATTCTAAAGCTGGACCATTGTATGATATTAAATTCATACGTTTCAACTTTTGACGTGTTTGAAGTATTATTCTGTTAAACTCAATTGCATTATGCCATGGATCGCGTAGATGTCAGCCTATTTACACTCAACAGTATAATTCTAAAAACATTATAAATGACAAGTAATAAATAAAATACTAAACTCGCTCTCGTGTAAAACCAATTTTATGAAACTCATGAATAGTTGTGGTATCTGACTCGCTTTCGCTCGTCAGATACCACAACTATTCACTCGTTTCATAAAATTGGTATTACACGGGAGCTCGTTTAGTATTCTATATTGACGTCATATT